TTTCATCCCAGCCGGCCGGCCAGATCTGAGCAGAAGCCTGGTCCCTCCCTCCTCCCTGCAGCACCAGGTTGTTCATGGCGCCTCTCCTTCCTTTCCAGAACCATGGCTTCATCAAACGGTCTGAGGTGGAAGAAGTGGATTTTGCCGGCTGGTTGTGTAAAACGCTGCGTCTGAACCAGCCCAGCACGCCCACACGCACCGCCGTGTGATCCTGCCGGTGACCTGTGAATCCCGCCACCCGCCCTTCCCGCCCAGGACGGACCAGCTCCTCCCCGCCCGTTCCACCGAGCCCGGAGGAGAGTGCACAGCGGAACGTTCACTTCCTCTTCCACCTGTCGCAGCCTCGGCCCTCTGGTCTCTGGGGAAGGGTGACGCTGCCCGTGTTGCCGTCTCAGAACCTGCTTACTTAGGTTTAAAAAAAAAAAAAAAACAGGGAAAGGAAAAGCAAACCGAGCCCATTGTACTTGTTCCATTTGTTCTTTGGGTGTCAGCCTCTGGTCCAACCCCCAGGGGAACAATATCCCTGGAGGACGGCTCCAGCCCCCAGGCAGCTGGGCCACAGAGAAATCGGGAGGGGCGTGGCATCAGGACCTGGCTTTGCTCTTTTTTCAAAGGACCAAGCCTCAGAGGGAACCCCTAGCCATTGACATCTTGCACCAAAACAGAGGAAGTGCCGCCACGCATTTCTGTGTGTCGTCCCCTCGCATTTCTGTACCCAAGCTTCCTGATGGCTGACTGTCCCCTGAAGGTGGGCCTCGGCAGGCCCTGAGAGCAGTGAGGCGGTTGGTTGTCACGAGGTCCATTCCCCCGGCCACCGCCGCCTCTGGTCGTGGAGCTGGTCCAGCCGACCCTGCCCGCCCTCAGCAGAGTGACCTGCCCAAGAGGGTCCTGGGCCTCCTGTGCCTTCGCAGCAGACACTTCCGACTCTTCATAGTGGCAGCTGAGCCGACACTTGACTGCAGAAAGGAAGTGTTGGGTTTCCAAGCGCTCGGTGTGGTTGAAACCCCCAGCAGGTTCGGTAGATAAGGCCCCTGCTCCCCCTCGGCGGCTCGCGTGGGCGGGTTGCACCTCGGTCACCTCTGCTCGCCCAGTGAATCCAGTGACCACCGAGGGCGCCACTCCTGGGCCTCAAACCGTGCGTCCACAGCTGGCTGTAGGGAGGTCTTCCTAGGTCCCTGCACCTTGGGGCAGCCAGCCTTCTCCCTTCAGGGCTCAGAGGTAGGAAGTGGAGGCCAAGGCTGCTGCTGAGGCGCCCCTCTTCTGAACGCTGGAGACGGTAAAGCCCTCAGCCGCCCCCACCCAAGCTTCCTGATGGCTGAAACAAGCTGATACTTATCTGAGGCAAATTGCAGGAGAAGGGTTTTCTGAGAGAGATGTGGCCTGGTGCGATCCCCGCTGGCCCTGGGCCGCCGGAGGCGGAGCTGTGGCCCGAGGGAGCTGCCAGAACCTTTTCCTATGGAGACCCCTCTAGTCTCCCATGTTTTCTGTGGACACAGAAGAGAGGAGTTGGCTTTTTCAACCAGCTTTCAGGTTTTTGCCACTTCATAGTTTCCCCCTGAAGTCTCAGTTGATTTAGAAAAGAATAAAGATAACTAAAAGTTACGAAGGTGTTGCTCTGTGAGTACCCAGCTCCCTCAGGACCTTCCTCAGAGGGGGAAGGGGCCCCAACATGTGAACTTGAATTGGCTTCTTGGCCCCGGGGTGCCTGGCACTGGTGGTCACAGATGGCCCACATCTCTGGGCCTGTCCTGTACATCTCAGGTTCTCAACATGAAACCAGCTGCTGTTTACAAGGAGCAAAAGACCACATTGGTGGGGCTTGGAAGGAGCGGGAGGGTGGGACTTAGGGTGGAGGGGTGATTTGAAAGTGGGAGCCTCCACAAGCATTGAGAGGTGTGGTGCCACCCCCAGGCCCTTAATTCTGTATGACTGTGTTCTATCCTGTACTGCTGCTTTCGCCAAGATCCCTTGGCACATCTGGAAAGGTCTAGAACCTGGCTCTTTCTCTTCCCACTCCACACCAGAACCAAGCTTCCAGAAAGTGGGGCTCACTCCTGAGTGTGTCTAAACCGCTGACAGCCAAGTTTCCAGGTGTCTCCCTCGGCCCCCATTCCCTGAGAACGTCCCCAAATTTGGCACCTTCTCATTCAGTCCCTGCGGTTCTCAGGGTCCCGGCCTCGCTGCCCCCAACTCCCTGGTCAAAGGGGCCATAGACCTAGGAAACGGCTCCCCCCCAGCAGCGTGGTTATAGGTTCTCTGTTGCAAGGGGCAGGCTCTTCCGTGAAACTCGTGAGTGCCCTGGATTAGGGGTGTCCTGACGTGAGGATCCAGGCAGAAGTGGTCCTCAGGCCTCAGCCCTGGTTCTTTTGAGAGACCAAGTGTTTTGTGAATGTGGTTCTTTAAAAACCCTGGGAAGGCCAAGTATGTGAGAAGATACAGCCACTGTGTTGGGGGGGAGGGGAGACACAGCAACCCCTGTGACCCCAGCACCCCTCTGTCTGACTTCTGTCCCCCCGAAAAGAATCAGAGCTTTAGCATCTTGCACAATGGGTGATCCTTCATTTATTTATTTGTTTTGTGTGTTTTCTTCACTTTTTTTGGTGCTTGGTTTGCAGGAAGAAAATCTCAAGTGTGTTGTTGGTACAAGTCAGTGCAGCTCAACAGCACTTTACGTGACCACGTGCTGTCCCGTGTCCCCACCTGGTCTTTCCACGGCGTTTGTGCCTCGGGGCCAGTAGCTCACCCGACGACCCAGTGGTGACCCACGGAATAAGTGTTCTCTCAGCTCCATCAGCTGTCGTGGGGTCAGATCTATCTAAATACTTGATTTATTCAGCGACTGCCCACGCCCTTCCTCGTGTAAAAATCTCAGGCCAGATCAGCCTGGGCCCTGGACAGGTCGCATTCCCTTCTGTGAGCATAACAAACGTTGAAGGGGGGCGGGGGGGTGATCATGGAAAAAAAAGGCTGCAGAACCAGCAGGCCAGGCCGACTCCAGGCGGGGCCTCTGCAATTTCCATTTTCCAGCAGCTGCAGTTACAATAGGGAAAAGAAACAGGTGAAGGTAATTTGATGGTATGTTTTATTTAACACAATGGAGGGGGACCCTGGTCATCGATATGGAAAACGATGGTATTTTACATTCTTTTTTTCTTTTTTACGAAGTCTTTGTAAGATGGGGTTTTGCCCTCACAGCACATCTCAGGTGACACACGTGGCCACATGAGCTCCTTTCTGCTCTGTCCTCTCCCAGCTGGCATTAGCCCACAGGGTCTCCAATGGGAACAATGCCCCCTCAACCCGGGAACCCTAGGTGATGTCTGGGGACATCCGTGCCTGTCACAACTTGTGCTCCTGGCCTCGAGTGGGTGGGGCCAGGGATGCTACTCAGCACCCCACCATGCCAGGGACAGCCCCCCACAGAGAATGACCCACCCCCGATGTCCAAGGTGCTCGGGGAGAGAAAACGCCTGATTTCCTCCCCAAATTTGACACAGTCGGAGGCCGCAGTCGCCCAGCAGCAGAGGTCAGACCCTGGCCTGTGTGTGTTGGGCAGCCTGCTTGAAGCCACCAGGCTTGCTGTGCCTAGAGCCTGGGACATCGTACGGTGGGGGTGGGGGTAGAGGGGGGGGGAGGTGTGGGCAGGGCAGCCCAGAACCTTCTGGAAGGCGGGCAGTTGGGAGAAGTGTGCTCAGCCGGCTGCAGTGGGAGGAGGTGTGTGCTGAGCAAGACAGGAAGCCTCAGGTCCGGAAGGTGGACCGGCCTGCCTCCCGCCGAGGACTCCCAGGTTAACAGAGTTCAGAGGAAGCCCTGACAGTGTTTCCCAGAAACACGGCTCGAGGCGGGGTAGGGGGAGGAAGGGGAAGGGACTCTGAAAACAGAAACCAGTGGGGCCTCCTGTCCCCACCTCCTCCTCTGACCAGGTGCTCCAGCCCGGGCAGGCCCCCACGAGGCTGGAGGCCGAACTTTGAACTACAGGCCAGGTAAGTAGAGGACCTCTTGTTCCTCAGTCCCCATGGCAACGAGGGGATGGGACATGGTGGCTCTAGAGGAGGAAGGAGGGCGGGAGGGAGAGGCCGGGGCCTCATGGCAGCCTGAACGGAGGCCTGAGTCTCGAGTTTCTGCCCAGGCTTCCCCGGGGACAGAGGGAGGCCCACAGAGAAGCACCTGGAGAAACAAGAGAGAGGCCTCAGGTGAGAGAGGGACTCAAGCCATGCACCCTGCCTCCTCCCGCAGCGGACCCGCCCCCTGGCAGCAGGAGCTAGCCTGTCCGGGCTAGCATCACAGTTGCCCCCTGACTCTGCAGCTTCAAGGAAGGTCATGCCCCTGTGGGCCTCATTTCCCCCTCTGCAAAGGGGGTGATCACAGACTAAAGGAGACCGCATTCCCCCAGTAATGGCCTCCCCGCTTACTCAGGTCCCCTCCCCCCTTCCGTGGGACCCAAATTGGGGTAGGGGCTGCCCAGGGGTTCTTGGGGTGAAGAAGGAGAGGGAGGGGGAGATACAAGTCTTTCACTTACTCTTGCCTGTCTGTGCGCCTGCTGTTCCTGTTCTGGAAAGTTCTCTTTGCATCCCCATCTCCAGCTCTTGCTCAAGTATCAGGCGCAGGACAAACATCCTCCGCTTCGGACTGCCAAGAGCTGCCAGGCTCCACAGTAAGCCCTCAGCACAGCGTGTGCTTTAACTCTCCCCGATGGCCCTGGTCTCATGGCCTTGGGCTTGGCAGTGAATCTTCAGCACAACACATAGGCATAAGCAGCAAAAGGAAAAATAGGTGAACTTGAACTTAGTCACAGTTTAAGACTTGGGTGCAACAAGAGACTGAAAGACACCCCACAGAGTGGGAGAAAATACTTGCAAGTCCTGTTTGGGAGACAAGTCCGGTGCCAGAACGAATACAAGAAAAATCACTGGGACCAGGCAACCAAGAGGAAATCGCCCAATTAAAACGTGGGCAGCCCTCGCTGGTTTGGCTCAGTGGATAGAGTGTCAGCCTGTGGACTGAAGGGTCCTGGGTTCGATTCCAGTCAAGGGCACATGACTGGGTTGTGAGCTTGATCCCCATTAGGGGACATGCAGGAGGCAGTCAATCAAGATTCTCTCTCATCATTGATGTTTCTATCTCTTTCCCCCTCTCCCTTCCTCTCTGAAATCGATAAAAATATATTTAAAAAAATAAATAAATAAGGGCAGACTCATTGGTTAGAGCATGGGCCAGCGCACCGAAGGGTCGGAGGGTCGCAGATTCGATTTCCAATTGTCAGGGGCACGGACCTGGGTGGATCCCCAGGCCCGGTACTGGTGGAAGGCAGCCCATTGATGCATCCCTCTCACGTCCGTGTTTCTCTCTCTCCCCCTGCCTCCCTCCCTCCTCTCTCTCTGAACATCAATGGAAAAAATATCCTTGGGTGAGGATTAGCAAACAAAGAAAAGCGGGCAGTGGATGTGAATGGA